GGTGGTGCAGGTCCAGGGATGCAGAGAGAGGTGAGGGCGGGGCCAGGACCAGAAGCGGTGCTCCTGGGGCCCAAGAAAGGCACTAAGTTGGTCTGGGTGAGAAGGGTCTGGAAGCAGTATTGGTTCCCCCGGTGTCTGGGGCCTCAAGTCTAGGGATGGCGCAGGTCCCAAACTGGGAGTAGCGAACAGCGGGGGAGATGGAAGGGTGAATGTGGCTTGGGGAGTCAAGGCACAGAGGGCTGCGCTATAGACTTACCCCAAGAGGCCTGAGGATAGGAGTGCCATCACTGCTTTCTAATATCAGCACTGGCATCACTGCAGATGAGCTTCTTTACCCCATATACTGCAGTGTGTAGCAATGCGCAGCTGCATTTGGGTCCTTTGTCAATCATACAAAAACATCAGTGCCAGACATTACACGGTAGTAAAGCAAAATTAGAAGTCAGGCAATAGCTTTCACATGTTGTTTCACAGCTGTCAGTGGCTTCACGTCTAATAAGAATCAACTAACGGCTAGCAGTAGACTTGGGCATTCTTGAAGCAGGATGTCTCGCATGTCTGCTCACTGAGACAGAGCTAGAAGCTGGGAGTTGGCAGGTCAAAATGGCACAAGAGGGCAGGAGCAGCAGAACACTGGTCCCACCTGCTCTCCCAGAGTCACACCTGGGAGAACAGAATGGATAGCATGTGTACAGACTGAAATCTAATGGAAAAGCCCTGCTGGTGTTTCATTGACTGTAATCCAAAAGTCTGACAACACATTGTTAAGGAGACCTTGGAGAAAATAGTCCTCATATGTGGCTGAGGAGAATGTAAATTGGTACTAGCTCCAGGAGAAAGAAGTTTAAAAATTATCAAAATTGCCAATGCCTAAACACCTTCACCCAACAATTCCACTTCTGTGACGTTATCCTATTCACGAATGCACTTGAGAAATAGTATACTTAGGTGACTACACATTGCAGCATTCTTCAAAGAGCAAAATATTGGAATCAGCCAAGTAACCATCAATATAGAACAGATTAAGCAGCTTTTTACTATTCATACACACACACACACACACACACACACAGAGTCATCACACAGTCATACACCAGATTACAATGTTTCATCTACAACTGATTGTATGTGATAGTCTCATAAAATTAAAACAAAGCTGACAAATCCTCCAGCTCTGTGTAGCTGTCATAGTTGGTAAAGGTATAGTCTTTGATGCTCACATACAGCAGAATTTTGCAACAGATTTCTCAGATCCGTATCCCTCTTATTAAATAACATATGGCTGTAGTAAATATTCAAAAAATTAAATAAAAGTATCAAATGAATCTAGCAAAAATGAAGAAAGAAGGTAGCTGAGAATGTGAGATGCTAAAAGAAGCCCCTAGCTCACTCAGAGATAATTCCAAGAAGCGCCCCCAAGAACACGCTGCTTCCTCAGGCTTAGCCTGGCTGTTTGCCAGTCTCCATAGCTCACTCACTCCAGGTAGCAGGAGCTCAGGGCCTGTGCTTACTCTGTAAAGTGGTGCTACACAACTGTCAATAGGCAGAACCTGAAAGCCTGATGGTAAATGGAACTCATCCACTAAGTAAAAAGTAAATTCAGTGATCCTCCTCGCCCAGTTGCTCTCCAGAAGAGCAACACAACAGAAGCCTCCAGATCGCAGAGGAAATGCTACACAGCTTGGCTAACTTATCTTTGGAAAGAGTGAAGGAGGTCTGGAAAGCACAGTCTCCAGCTTTCAGAACAACTAGAAACGTTTTGAAACAGTATAAGTCTCCAGATACACCACTTACCCTGAGAGGTCCTTCCTTGGTTTTGTTTGTTTTGATTTTGTTTTTGAGACATGTTCTCTTTGTATTACTCAGACTGGTATTAAAGTCCTGGATTCCACTGATCCTCCCACTTTGGCTTCCTGTGTCATTGAAACTATATGTACACACCACTATAGGCAGCTTCTGAGAGTTGTAGAAACAAAAGTAATGACATCCACTTTGTGGACATCTTTTGGAATGACTCATCAATATTTTTCATCATCCCACAGACTATAGGATCAGGCTGTGATCCAGGAAGATGAACAATGAAAAAAGACAGTATCTAAAAGTTTCATCAGTCCACAGACCCCCATCAGCACCTCCAGGTTGGAGAAGGGAGTCGGTTTTCCTTATCTACGCATTCCTTACTTTCTTCATTCTCTCATTCAGGAGCCTGCTAGCAATTCACTCTATCACACACAGCTACATTCACAAGAATAAAAGGGGAGAGGGTAAAGAACAATCATCCGTTATTATCTCAAGGCTTAAAATTCTGCAAATATTGTTCATATATTGGTTAATGTGAGGGGCCAGTAAATTGTTTTATTTAAATTATCACACTATAAATGTTTGAAGGAATCGTTTTCTTAGAGCTAATGTGTTTTTATTTTTCAGTCTTTCTGAAATGCATGTTTTTGTGTATTCTGTTTTAACCTCAGATCTTTCCACAAGGAGAAAGGATTCTTAAGAACCAATCAAGATTTTGCTGAAGTCGAATCCAAGTAGCATCCCTGTCTTAACTCCAAGAAAGAAAAATGAAGCACATTATCAATCCATATGAAAATATCAATGATACAGCAAGAAATAATTCAGACTGTCCTCATGTAGTTTTGCCAGAAGAGATATTTTTCACAATCTCCATCATTGGAGTTTTGGAGAACCTGATTGTCCTCTTGGCTGTAATCAAGAACAAGAATCTTCAGTGCCCCATGTACTTTTTCATCTGTAGCTTGGCTATTTCTGACATGTTGGGCAGTCTGTACAAGATCTTAGAAAATATCTTAATCATGTGCAGGAACATGGGTTATCTCAAGCCTCGTGGCAGTTTTGAAACCACAGCAGATGACATCATTGACTCCATGTTCATCCTTTCTTTGCTGGGCTCTATCTTCAGCCTGTCTGTGATTGCTGCTGACCGCTACATCACCATCTTCCATGCATTACAATATCACAGCATTGTGACAATGCGCCGCACCATCATCACTCTAACAGTTATCTGGATGTTCTGCACAGGGAGCGGCATCACCATGGTGATCTTCTCCCACCACATCCCCACTGTGCTCACCTTCACTTCGCTGTTCCCTTTGATGCTGGTCTTCATCCTGTGTCTTTACATTCATATGTTCTTACTGGCCCGCTCCCATACTAGGAAGATTTCTACCCATCCTAAAGCCAACATGAAAGGGGCCATCACACTGACCATCCTTCTCGGAGTCTTCATCTTCTGTTGGGCTCCCTTTGTCCTTCATGTCCTCTTAATGACCTTCTGCCCGAATAACCCTTACTGTGTTTGCTATATGTCTCTCTTCCAGGTGAATGGTATGTTGATCATGTGCAATGCAGTCATCGACCCCTTTATATATGCTTTTCGGAGCCCAGAGCTCAGGGATGCATTCAAAAAGATGATTTTCTGCAACAGGTATCAATAGAAGTTTTGGTCCCTGATTTTAATATTGTAAAGGGACCAAACAGTATAACATCCTAACAAATACGCATGCTTCTGGCCAACCTTTCCTTCTTTGATGGATTTGTGAATGATCCCACTAACCAGTGTTTACCATACCTTACTTCTTTGTGAATAGTCTTACTGTATGTGCACATTTTATAACATGTCTAAAGAGATAAAAAGATGTGCTACAAATGAAGAATAGTATACAAAGTATACATAGCAATAAATGTAAGGACTTCGGCCTAAACAAATAATTTGTTCTTCTATGGGTATCTGGCAAAGCTGTCCCGGGAGGCCTTTTCAAGCTGGAAACCATGGCAATCAGTCTCTAGAAGTTAGAGCACCAGAGTAGATGTGCTGGTCAGATTTCCATTTCTGTGACCAATGCATGTAATAAATCAACTTAAAAAGAGTATATATTGATTTGGGACCCTATATTGAGAGGTTGAAGCTTAACACTTGGCCCTGTTGCTTCAGCACATCATGTCAGGAGCATGTGGAAAACAGCTGTGGCTTCCAGCAACCCAGCATAAAGAAGAAAAGACATGTGTTCTATGGATAAAACCTCAGTGATGAACTAAGATTTCCCACTAGGCCCCACCTCTTATAGGCCACTTGCTGGGAGCAACAATATAGAGACCAAGGATTTCGCACCTAAGTCTTTGGAAGCCATTTACCTAAACCACAATAGTGAGTGACTAGGTATATGAACTGTAGTGTCCTTGTAAGCCAAAGATGCCAATCAACTGCTGCAGATAGCCTATCTCCCACAGACATCCAAAATTCCTTATCTTCCCTCCTACTTCCCGGTCTGCCTAGTCTTTTTAGAAGATGGATATAAATTACAAATTTCATATAGCCAGCTTTGAGTTCCCAAAAATAAATGGATCTTTCCAAATGTACCTTCTTTGCTCACCCAGGCTCTCACTTAGCCTTAAAAATCTGTTCCTGTTACAATTTCTCCATGTTTTAGAAGTACAAATTTCAAAGAATGAAAGAAATTTTTAGGTTGTTTGATTCCTATGCAGTAATATATAAAGGCAAACTGTGACTATTAGAAGGTATAACCAATCTTTGTTCAACTGTGAAAGTCCCCAAAATATATTTCATAGAAAAAGAAAGAGGGAGAGGAGGAAGGAAGGGAGGGGGAGAGGAAGGAAGGAAGGAAGGGAGGAAGGGAGGGAGGGAGGGAGGGAGGTAAGGAAAGAAAGAAAAGAGGGATAGAATGGAGGGAGGGAGAGGAGAAAGACAGGGAAGAAGAGCAAGGAGAAGAGAGAGAGAGAGAGAGAGAGAGAGAGAGAGAGAGAGGAACTATGTTTTGTACTATGGGAAAACCAAGACCAAAACATTTGAAACAACAGGCTGTTACTGGAGACCCAAGCCAAGGATCTGATGAAAAACTTCTGCCTCCTTCACAGGCAAGTCTGAAAAGGCAGGCATATCGAGCATTGGGAATTTTTACCCTACCTGTAGTAATAGAAAAAAAGTCCAGAACTGAAAAGTGGAATTCTAAATAGGAGTAAGAGAAACATGCTTTCAATCTCAACCATTAACATAGTTCACAGATGAAGCAGCAGATTCCAGTGGCAAGTCCTTGCTAAGCTGCAGAGAACTTTAATCAGTTGGTGGTGAAAGGGACAAGGAGAGGAGGAGGGCTTCTCCTGTAGCCTGGATCCATGTTGAGGGGTAGCATCTTCTAGAAAAAACAACAGTTTTCCTTCTGTTTCCAAAACCCCAATCCTGTTATACAAGAACTGCTGCCAGAGGTGGAAGGCATCAAAAGACCAAAGAAAAGGACAGATTCAGGATCCAAAAAGTATGACTTACCGGGAACTTGAAGATGAAAGCATGTATTGAGAGGCAACAAAATAGAAGGCGATCACACCTGTGACACAGGGTAAGGCATTCGTATGCTAAACTAAAACAATCTGAAGCATGGTCAGCTAGAGGAGACCTGGCCTTTCTCAAAGACTGGCATGCTCAATACAGCTAAGAAACATTTCAGATGTTGGTGCCTGGTACCATGCTCAACAATCAACTTCAGTGACTGTCCTGTAGGTTTGGGGATGTGTACCAGTGTCACTCAGCTGGTAAAACAAGGGCTGCAACCAAGATGACTGCTGTTGTATCAGCTTGGATCCCTGTATCCTTAATGGTGTTTTCCATGAGTTTATGTAAGAAGATACCACAAACAGGACACACAGCTTAGATGTGGCAGGAACAGGAGCATGAAAGACAGGAAAAGCCTCAGATTTAGAGGAAAGACCAGGGTGTGGTTCCACATAGCTATAAAACAAGTTGGGAAGAAACCCCACAGTGTGTCTTCTTTGGTTCTATGGAAATCTTCATTTTGACACCTACCCCCCTCCCAATCAAATAGATTACATTATCCTATCATATGCAAGGTCCTGAATGTGCATTTAATTTTGTGTTATTTCTGTCCTTGAAAGAGTAATGTAGAACACACTTTTCTGTATTAAGCTGTTTTCAATAAAATGTTTCTTCTCTCTGACTCTGTACTGCTCTAGAATGTTGAAGAGGCAGGCAATGCAATTTATTCCCCATCACCAAGAGTCCTAAGCCACTCAGCTTAAAGAGATCTACCTTCCTTAAGTGCTTTGCTGCCTTTCATCTGTCTTGAGCTCTCACTGGTCACATGACTGGCCTATGCAACAAGGTACACTAATAGAAAGGTATTTTACATCAAAATAAAGTCTAAATAATCATTCAGAGCCATTTTTACTTCTAGGTCCTCAGCTATATTCAAATCAGAGCCAGGACTTTAGTGATCATAATTAGTGAAAAGATTTCAGATGACTTTCCTCATTTTATTAGACACAGACTTAAGATCTCTAATAACCAGGTAGAGACCTCAGTAGCCAAAACGTCTGAACTGGAGGAGAAAATGACAAACTCAGTACATGGCCATAGCAATTCCCTGTTCCATTCTCAAGTCAGGAAATCGTAGAGCTCTGTGTAGTAGCCACCTCACTCAGTCTAAATAAACTTATGCAGGCTGTCACCCAAGGCCTAGTATCCTATTATCGTGGTCAGCCAGGACATTTTAGATGAGGATAACAAAGCCGATGAACTGTAAGCTTCTCTCAGGCCTATGTCCAATCTACAAAGTTGGGGGGCCCACAAGAAATGGCAATATCCTTCTCTCCCTCTTGAGGGAAAGACAGTCACATTCCAAGGACTTCATGCTTACATCAAACCTAAAGAAAGACAAATGCTCCTGACTTTGTTTCTGGACTTTGAAGAGCCCAGTAAAGAGAGAAAGACCTATCACTTTGAGGACTGATCGGGCACTGAGGGTACACAGGCTCCCAAAGTCTCCATCTCTGTGGATAAATATTGAGTGATCCTACATGTGGCAAAGAACAAAATTATGTTTCTTCTTGACACAAAAGCTACTTTTTCTGCCCTGTCCACCTTCTCCAGTCTGACCTTCCAGTTCCCAGTCCACCATATTCTGAAACTGAAAGCAATCTCTTATCAGGACACTTTACACACCTTTTAACCAGTATGATAAGCAAACATCTTTTCACTCAATTCTTTCTGGTCCTACCTAGATACTACATTACTCCCATGTTAAAACTTCAGATTAATTATGGTATTCTCAACACTGAGTCTTCTGTAACATAACGACTCAGAGGACTCAGAGCTATCCAGAGCCTCAAAGTCCTTCCTTATGGTCTCTAATATGTACCTCATCAACAATTTCCCACTGAAGTCTGCAATATATCACTTAACAAGTTCCCACAGAAGTCCAGAATACTTCCATTTCTGGATGTTCATTACTGCCACAATCACGCTTAAGGATCCTAACAATGCTCCTTGAAGGCTCCAATATCCTTTAAAAAATCTAGCTGGTCTAGTGTGTAACTTCACTGGATAGATAGGATTATCCCTCACTAAAAAAGAAACCTCTGAAAGGTAACAATTGTCTTCATATAACACATTATTTCTCATTTTGTGCCTCCTCATTCACTACAGTCAGATAATGACCCAGATTTCATTTCCAATTTCACAGAGTGAGTGAAACTTAAATATTATCTCCATGCCCCTTGACATCCTCAGTCTTCTCAAGAGGCTAAAAAGGCAATCTAACTCTTAAAAGATCCTTCACCAAGCTTATACTCAAGACTCAACAGCCTTGATCCATTCTCCTTTCAAGACCCCTCATTACTTATAATTCACCTCAGCCCCTTCAAAATCCTTTATGGTGACCCTTCCTCCAGGAAGACATCTTACTAGATATAGCAGCTCATTATCTCACTGGGACAGGTGATCAAGGCTGTCACTGAGTACTAGGATAAGTGCAACCCAAAGCCTGACCTCATATTTTTTGGTTCACCCCTCATATTAACCTAGAATTGAGTCTATCTTTAAGCTACACCATCAAACAAAAGACAAGGAAAAGCTGTTTGGACTAGACCATATCAAATCCCATCCATTAATGTCTTAGGCTACAACCAAGCTACAAGACCTTGGTTTCTTCTGCCCACATTAAGACTGTTCCACCAGCAGATGTCAAGTCAAGCTCAAATCTCCTACTCTTGTGAGCCTCTTGGAGATCCCACCATCTCTTCTCCCAGCAAGACTCAGATGAAACTCACCCTCACATACCTCTAGACCCTAATGAGTATTGAGAATTCTTTCTCTTACTTCTCTGAGTTATATAATTTTATAAGCCCTCTCCTTTTGCTTATTCAATGTTCTATAAGACCTAACCCAGTTTAGAGAATTCCTCCTATGTCTGTCCCTGTAGGGAGATTTCTTTGTCCTAGATTGATGCCATCACTTGATTCGAGGTATCACCCCCTTCCTTATCTCCTTATCCAAATCCCTGGGCACCAATTTTAAGCATAAAGCTTCTTCTCATCGTCATAGTCACATATACTTTACCATATACTTTAACAACCAACCTGTAATCACTCTATACTGTCACTTTTATGCATTATAGTATCCTGTTAC